TTATGAATATCAATCTGTAGTGTTTTTTCTAGTATATTAACTCTTTTATTATGAAATACTTCATCATGTTGCTATTTTTAACCAGCAATTAATTGGTGCAAATTCCCCTTGGGTCATCTCTTGGGGTTTTATCAAGATTTGTTTAAGTAGATATAAACATTCTAAATTAACCATGTTGTTATCAAAATAAGCATGAATTTGCTGGCTCCACAGGTAAGAGAAATTTTAGGTCACTTACAGAACATTTTTTGAGAATACAATATAGGGTCAGAATTTTTACCATATTTTTGGCTATTGTACATAGTGTGAAACCTTTTAATTGCTGATTACTGCATGGATTAATAAAATGTGTGTATCCATATTTAATTGCTATCAAATTTCATCTACATGTTGAAAAACAACCCTTTCTTGGAAATATACAAAACAAGTATTGACTTATGCATTTTAGTATGTATAAGAATGTTCCAATTTTAATAGTATGCATTTTTATTCTCCTAAAGACAACAGACCATTTAAAAGGATGAACAATAGTAGCAGCAATGTATGGGAAGGATACAGTCCATCCATCTGCAGTCTAGTGGGACTTATACTTTGATAAAATAAAATTTTAATGGTCTTCTAATCTAGAAGCCACTTTGGTTTACTACTTAATACTGATGTTTCTCTAGTGTCAAGAATCTTAAGAATTATAATTATAACAACAGTATTTTTCTTTAAGTTCCCTGTGATGATGGGAATTTTAATGTAATGTGTAGAATCAAACAATGATGTGTTTTCTGTTCCCTGTTAAAATTATCTTTTACAGATATAGATTGTAACATTTTTGAAAATCTTTTACTTTTTGAAATTATAATATAATTATTAATTCTTTTCCTTTGTTTTACTTCCCTGAAGCCCTCCCACATAACACTTCTTGCTCCCTTTAAAATTAATGACATTTCTTATTCATTAATATCTATCTGTGTATGTGCATATATGTTTCTAAATACTTCAGCGCAAGCCCTGAGTCTGGCTGCATGTTTTCATGGCTGACCATTTGATGCTGTAGTAGTTTAAAGACTGGTCATGTATTTGTACAACAGGGTAGGTAACGCGCAGCTCACTATCTTGCCTATGATGACCTCAAATTCACAATAATTCTCCTGCTTCAGCCTTCACGGTGCTAGAATAACAGCCACAGGATACCACATCTCACATTCAACATCATTAAACTCCTCGAAAATTTGTTGTTTTTTGTTTTTATAACTCTCAATTGCTCCCTTTTTTATTTATTCTGACTTATTTCTGTCTTAGGACAAATGTACTTCAATGTCGGACTAGCATATTTTCTTACAATATTTTAATTGAACTCAAAATGAACTCACTATAATGGAGAAATCTGAATTGTAGTTATTGTGTGTGGGTGTGGCAGTGAGTTATATCAACAGGTCATGTATTGCCCATCTAGAAATAGTGAATAAAATTTATAATTAAATATATTCAAAATATTTTGGATTCAATCATAATAAAATTATATTGGCCTATATATTAATAATCAATATGTTTTGTATTGCTGAAGATAAATTATTTGGCTTTGGTCTATGGTCACATATTTTTTACTAATATCATTTCAATACTTATTTTTGTGACCTAATATGGAAACTTTCTAAATTATCATATAATAATATTAATTTCATTTCATACTCAACCAGATTTATTGCTCCGTCTGGTATATTATAGGACCTTATTTTTTTTTTTTTTTTGCAAATGTATTCCCTCAGTGATTTTATTTGGCTGTCCAACATCACATAGCTTAGTTATTCAGTTTAAGAGGAACAAATTGTAAGAGAAAGCCTCACATTTAACATGGCACAGAGCTTGTATTAATGAGGTAGGAAAAAAAGACAAACCCTCAGTTCCCATGTCCTTTATTTACATATTGAAGAAGTTTCTATGCCAGTACCACACAGTTTTTGTTATTTTTGCTCTCTAGGACATCTTGAGATCAGGGATGGAGATACCTCCAGAAGATCTTTTATTCTAGAGGATTATTTCAGCAATTCTGGGTTTCTTGTTATTCCATATGATTTTGAAATGTTTTCTTTCAAGGTCTGTAAAGAATTGCATTGGTAATTTTATGGGAATTATATTGAATCTGTAGATTGCTTTTGGTAAGATGGCCATTTTTACTATGTTAATCCTGTCAAGCCATGAGCATGGGAGATCTTTCCATCTTCTGATATCTTCTATTTCTTTCTTTAGAGACTTGGAGGTTTTTGTTTTTTGTTTTTCATACAAGTCTTTGACTTTCTTGGTTAGAGTTACACCAAGGTACTTTATGTTCTTTGTGGCTATCGTGAAGGATATTGTTTCTTTAATTTCTTTCTTCCCATTTGCTTTTGTATACAGGAGGGCTACTGATTTTTTTTTTTTTAGTTAATTTTGTATTCAGCCACTTTGCTGAAGCTGTTTATCAGCTTCAGAAGTTCCCTGGTAGAATTTTTGGCGTCACTCAGGTATACTGTCATATCATCTGGGAATAGTGATACTTTGACTTCTTCCTTTCCAATTTGTATCCCTTTAATCCCCTTTAGTTGTTTTATTGTTCTAGCAAGGACTTCAAGAACTATGTTAAAGAGCTACAGAGACAGTGGGAAGCCTTGCCTTGTCCCTGATTTCAGTGGGATTGATTTAAGTTTCTCAATTTAAGTCTCTCAATTTAAATCCAAGTTCTACATATGAGAATAAATGAGTGTTCAACTTTCAAAATCTAGTTTACGTATCCTACATGATTTCACTATTAGTTATATATGGTACAATTTTACTTTGTATATGCACCATATTTCTTATATCCATTCTTATGATGATGGGTATCTACGCTGGTTCCATTTCTTAGCCTTGGTAAATAGTTTAGCAAAAAATATGGATGTGCAATTACGTCTTTGGTAGGAACTTCATCCCTTTGAGATATAAGCACAGGGTGGAAAAGCTTTGATCAGATGGCAGTCAACATTCAGCTTTTTCAGAAACCTCATCCACAGTGGTTTCAAGTGTTTCCATAAGCACTAGACAGTTTTTAAGTATTCCTCTTTTACCAGTAACTGCGGCCATTTGTTTTCTCATTGAAAGCCATATGATTGTGTTGAGAAAGAATCACAAAGAACTTTCAGTTTGCATTTTTCCTAAGAATGCTGAACATCGTTTCAACTGGTTTTTAATTATTTCCTCTTTTCCTTCTTTCTTTCTTTCTTTCTTTCTTTCTTTCTTTCTTTCTTTCTTTCCTTCCTTTCTTTCTTTCTTTCTTTCTTCCTTTAGAGAATAATCTATTCAATTCTTTGGCCCACTTATTGTATGGAAGGCTTCATTCACTGAAATTTCATTATGAAAGTTCTGTATAATTTTTAGATGTTAATAATCTCTTGTGTGATAAATAATAAACAAATATTCAGGTTTGTTTTTTAGGACATAGACTGGTTTCATTCTGATGATGATTTCCTTTGTTGAACAGAGCTATTTAACCTCTTGTAATTCTTTTGTCAGTTTAGGAGATTATATTCTATGCCATGAGGGTTCTTTTCAGAATGTTCTTGCCTGTATCTTGATGTCTTTCCTCTGTGTTTTGCTCATTTTCAGGAAGCCATTCCTAAAATTATGATAATTTATACTTTTAGAAGGATTTTTAAGCGTAGTGGAAGATTCTTCTGCACATGACTATCCCATTTACATGCCACCACTCATTGAAGAAGATCGTTTCTAATACTGGTTTTGAATCCTTTGATGAAAGTTACAACTTTTTAGTTATGTGTGTTTATTTCTGAGTCTCTTTCCATTTTGTTGGTATACATATGGGTTTTGTAGTGGTATACAATGTCTTTTTATTTTTATTTTTTATATTAATTACAGTTTATTCACTTTGTATCACAGCTGTAGCTCCCTCCCAATCTCACCCTCTCTCCCTCATCTTCTCCCCTGACCCTCTTCAAGTCCGCTGTTAGGGGAGGTCCTCCTCCCCTTTCATCTGACCCTAGCCTATCAGGTCTCATCAGGACTGGCTGCATTGTCTTCCTCTGTGGCTTGGCAAGGCTGCTCCCACTTAAGGGGAAGTGATCAAAAAGCCAACCACCAAGTTCATGTCAGAACAGTCTCTGTTCCCATTACTAAGGAACCCACTTGGATACTGGGTTGCCATGGGCTACAGGGGTTCTAGGTTATCTCCATGAATGGTCCTTGGTTGGAGTATCAGTCTCAGAAAAGACTCCTGGGCCTCATCTTGAGTGAGGCATCCCAGAAGCAGAAAGACACACATGACATATATTCACTTATAAGTGGATATTAGTCATATAATATAGGATAAACATACTAAAATCTGTACACCTAAAGAAGCTAAGCAAGGAGGACCCTGGGTAAGATTCTCAACCCTCACTCAAAAAGGCAAACAGGATGGACATTGGAAGAGGAAGAAAACAGAAAACAGGACAGGAACCTATCACAGAGGGCCTCTGAAAGACTACCCCAGTAGGGTATCAAAACAGATGGTGAGGCTCATAGCCAAACTTTGGGCAGAGTGCATGGAATCTTATGAAAGAAGGAGGAGATAGAAATACATTGTCTTTGATCCTATGATTTTGTAACATATTTTGAAATCAAGTATTGTGATAGCTTTGCAATTGTTTTCTGGAAGAGAGAGACTTTTTCTTCATTTAAGTTGAGGATTCGTTTGTGAAATCTGTGAAGAATGCCATTGAAATTTCGATATTGGTTGATTTGGACCAATAGAATATTTTATGTAATATGTCCATCTGCATAATATTAAACAGCAGTATCTTCTACTTCATTGTATGTAAGTGACATATATTATTACATCACCATGCAGCCATTTTTTTTTCCTTGACCACTGATTGGAGTATATAAATATGTAGTCTTTGTTCATTGACTTATTGACTTACATTACTATCTGTTGTTATTATAGTACTATGGACACTAACCAGTGGATCTTCGACACTGTTGCATGAGATTCCAACATGAGGAACATTACAGAAGCCAATACATTTGTCCTCAGGGGACTCACAGACAACACTAACCTTCAGATCATTCTCTTTTTCCTCTTTCTAGCAATTTACCTTTTTACTCTAATAGGAAATGTGGGACTTATTATTTTAGTCATTGGAGATCCTCAACTCCACAACCCTATGTACTGCTTCCTCAGTGTGTTGTCTTCTGTGGATGCCTGCTATTCCTCAGATATCACCCCAAATATGTTAGTAGGCTTTATGTCCAAAAACAAAATCATTTCATTTCATGGTTGTGCAATGCAGATGTTCCTTGCTGTTACATTTGGAACCACAGAATGCTTTCTTTTGGCAGCAATGGCATATGATCGATATGTGGCTATTCACAACCCACTTATGTATGCTGTTAGCATGTCTCCTAGAGTGTATGTGCCACTGATCATTGCTTCCTATGCTGGTGGAATTCTGCATGCTGTTATCCACACAGCTGCCACTTTCAGCCTGTCTTTCTGTCGGTCTAACGAAGTCAGACATATATTTTGTGATATACCTCCTCTACTTGCTATTTCCTGCTCTGAAACCTATATAAATGAGATTCTGCTCTTCTTCTTTGTGAGTTTCATAGAGCTAGTCACCATTCTGATCGTTCTGGTCTCCTATGCTTTTATCCTGTTGTCAATTCTGAAGATGAAATCATCTGATGGGAGGAGGAAAGTCTTCTCAACATGTGGAGCTCACCTCACTGCTGTGTCTATTTATTATGGCACAATCCTCTTCATGTATGTAAGACCTAGTTCCAACTATTCCCTGGAGCATGACATGGTAGTGTCCACATTTTACACCATTGGGATTCCCATGCTCAACCCCATCATCTACAGTCTAAGAAACCAAGACGTCAAAGAGGCTATGAGAAGAGTTCTGAGAAAAAAACTTTCATAGTAAACCCTGAGTTCAAAATTTAAACTTTTTTGTGTTTCTATTACAAGTATTTAATATGAAGTTTTAATGTATTTTCTTAAGTATTTTACATTGAATTTTTTTCCCACCGGTCTTTAATTCATTCAAATCAAATTCATTCAAACAAAATCATTGCTGTTTGCTACTTTTTATATAAGGTTCAGGGTTAATTCTCCTGTCTCCATGACTCATCTCAGCTTAGAAACACTTTGATTACAGATGTATCTTTTCATCATTAGCTTCATATGGGTTCTAGAAATTCAAACTAACATCTCCACATGTGGCTAGCAAGCACTTTACATACTGAGCTGTCTAAATCACTTCAATGTTTGATTTTTGAAGAACATAAAATTCCATTTATTTTTAGTTTAAATAAACATTATTTTAAAATATGCATTGTTGGGCGAGAGATGGCTCAGAGGTTAAGAGCACTAGCTGTTCTTCCAAAGGTCCTGCGTTCAGTTCCCAGTAACCACATGGTGGCTCACAACCATCTATAATGAGATCTGGTGCCCTCTTCTGGAGTGCAGATGTACATGCAGACAGAGCATTGTATATTTAATAAATAAATAAAACTTTAAAAAAATATATATGCATTGTTATTACAGTCTTTTTAAAAATTAAATAATGATTACATTCAACTTTCTGCATAATATTTACATATGTAAAAGTGTGGCATTTATTTGTTTCTTATAAAATCTGTGTTCAAAGATTTCTCAGAGAGAATCACTTACAAAATTTGCTGAGATAATTGTAATTTGTAGGACTATTATAACAATATACCATACAACACCTGGTTTATGCAAAAAAACTCATTTTTTCTATGTCTAGATGTTAGACATTTAAGATCAAAGAGTTTTCACAGGAAAAAAATGCTCATTGGCTTTTCTGGGTATATTGGTTATCTTTTTCAGAGTCTCCTTTGTAGTTTCCTCTATAGTCTTTCTCTTAATTAAAAGATTAGTCATTTTCCTAATCTAGCCTTATGAAAATACAAACTATATTGAATTAGCACCTAACCAAAAGAAAAAAAAACTCGCAATAATAAATTCATTTTAAAAGACTGTGTCTCTAAATTCAGACACATTCTTAAGCACTAGGTATTTAGTTTTAACATTGAATCCTGTGTGTGTGCATACAAACATTTGTAATTATATAATATAGTCCTGTGATCCTGTTTTAAATTGAAAGTATATTACCTCTTTACTTGAAAAATATATTCAATATTCAGGGCTGTATTGCATACAAAATCATGGTTGTATTTGATTAGTTTGGTGAAGTGCGACCTAATCAACAGGTTAACCATATTATATATTACCTTCATTAAATACCAATCTCTGACTTTATTATGTATTGTACTCTCTAATCCCACTCACCACACAGGAAAATATACCTAGCCCATTACACATGGCAATCAAGGACTTTAGGACAAAGTTGTACCCAAGGCCTCTAGTTAAATATTTTCTATATGTCTGTAGCACATAGAATCATACATAAATAAATTTTAAATAAATCATGTATCAATTTAATCATAACCTGTGCTTCAACCAGCACGGGTAATGTTTCTGTTGTCTTTAATTTTCTAAGTATGACTATGTTATTTTATTATGGATATCATAAGTATTATCCTTCAATTCCTCGGAGAGAAGAAAACCAGACAATAATATTTGTCAGGATTATATCAAAACTCAAGAACATCAAAATTAAAGCATGCTTTATAAAGATCATATTATAGATATTGTCTTTCCCTGCATAAGCCTTTTCTCACTTCTATGCACTACCTATTATCTGTACCCTACTCAGGTTAGAGATGTGTGAGGCTTCTAGAAATGAAAATTAAATAAATTTTAAAAAGACTTTTAAAAAAGAAAGAAATGGAGTCATCAGCATAATGCAATCTCCTTACACATAATTTGAAACAAGTGTGCCAACAATCACATTCTTATTCCTTCTTCGTTTCTATTCATTTATTTATTTATTTTTACACCTAGATGTTGGTAGAGTGGGTAATATATCTTTGTACTTCAGTAGTGCCTGCCAGGAGCCTGCTGCAAGTGGTCACAATACAGTTTTCCAATGACACTCCTCCCATCCAACACCCCTTTTGTCTTGAATATAGAAGTGGAAATATGAGAGGAGAAATTATAATGGCCTATATTTGTCCCATGGTACTTGCAGTATCAATATGAGCAACTTTTATAAGTTTCTGGGTACTTTTTTATTATAATCTTCCTTTCGATCATAGAGAAAACAAGTATAGGAGTTAAAGCCTAGTGAAGGAGAGAGGGATTTGGGAGGTATAGGTGTTAGGACCAACGCAGGAATGCTGGGAAACATGCACCTGTGCGCCTGTGCGCCTGTGGAGGTTACACGCGGTTCACAAATCACACCACGAGATCGGTTCCATGTGGGAGGTTTATTAGGGGAAGGGGGGTTGCAGAGAGAGAGAGAAAGAGAGAGAGAGAGAGAGAGAGAGAGAAAGAGAGTAAGAGTAAGAGAGGGAGGGGGCTCCAGGAGTTCTTATAGGGTGACCCAGGGCATGCGCAGGTAATTCCAGGTGGTCAGGGTGTCTTCACAAATGCCTGATAACCTGTTTGTCAGGTCCCTTGGGGCTGGCCATAGAAGTGCCTACTTACTGATCCCAACATTCCTTCCTTTTTCTATAGTTAAAAATAGGGAGCTTGGGCTGCCTTTTAAAGGTAAGTTAAAATATATAAATTTAGGCTCATTGGAAGCAGCTCTTGGTTGTCATGCAAGAGGTTGAGAGACAAGAGTTATAGCAACAAAATGGTCAGGTTGCAAGGTCAAGAATAAGAGAAGTCTCTGCCCTGGAAAATTTAGGGTAGAGGGTTGTCAACAGTGTTGCCAGCCATTCAAGGCAGAAGGTAGGGACTGGGGAACGCTGGGAGAACCTGGAACCGCTTGTCCTGGTCCTGATGCACACCATTTCAGCCTTTTGTTAACAAGTGAATAACAGGCGTAGATTCTCTTCTGGCTACTTCCTGCTGACACTGGGGGCGATGCAGGGAGGTCAAAAGGCTGAAGTGTTGGCCAAGTCCAGGAAGAATAGGCTGCTTTGATGCTTTCCCAGGTCTGCAAGAACACCCATGGCTGGGAGGGAAGGTGCAGGTCCAGCTTGTTGGAAGTCTGTGAGGTCAGAGCTGAACACCTGCAGCTTGTTAGAAATCGTGAGGTCATAGTTGAACACCTGTAGCTGCTTTGGCATTGTTGTGGCTATAGGAAACATCTGTGTCTGGCAGGACACTGAAACACATATATAGGCAAAAGATAAAGTTGAGTATGGAGAAAATCCTGTAGGTATACATTGAAAGGTTTGGATGGATGAGGCTTGTACATGGAAACCTCTGTCTACCTGGAGGAACCTTTATTTACCCAGTCACTGGCAATATTTAAAGAAGGCTTTGTTTTCGACTTGTCATTGAGGTGAGGTTTGGTTACAGAAGCATGTAAACTTAGAGGCCCTAGTGCCAGCTGGCACTAGGTGTAGAAACCTGAAATTTTCCAGCCTGTCTGGAGGGACGGGCATCTGGGCATCTCCCATTGGGGGCAGAGAAGTAGAGGAACCGTGTGAGAGAGGGGACCTTCCCATGAGCGAGCAAGCGGGGGGGGGGGGAAGAAACCTGTAGAGGGGGTGTACGGCCCAAGGGAGGGTGTGGCCCGAAAATGAAAGTCAGCATAGAGGGTCAAATCTAGACAATTAAGGCTATGGCTGAGGGGGGGGGGTGTCCCTCCATCTCAAAAGATAGTAGGAAGTTGCCAGAGCTCTGTGGTCAAGCTTCCCCTACCAAAAGAGATGTTTATGCTGAGAAAATGGAGTGAACTCACCAATCTTGCCAGTGGTTGCATGCAGTAAACAGCAGTCTGGTAGCCAGGAAAGGAAGTCCCAAAACCAGGGAAAGGGGAGGAATCCCACCTTTTGAGACAGGCAATAAGTGCAGTACTTAGCTGGAGTCTAGTTGTCCTGAGAGGTAGATTCAGGTGGACTTTTTGTAGCTTACAAGAATTCCTTTAAGTTTTAAGAAGGAGATAAAACTTTAGACATGTTAGGATCACAATTGTACTGTGCATTGAGAAAAAAGCAGTAGACATACATATGTGTTAACAGCATAAGTGTTTTTTAAGGTGAGCTCTGAAAAGGCAAAAGCCTTTTATGAAGTGAAGAGAAACTCACTCGATCTTAACTTTAGTATAAGCATAGACATTATGGAGGCTTGCAATCTTGAGCTTAGGACTATAATAGTGGCATAGTGGTATAGTGGAATGTTTTTGTATTAGAGTTAGATAATTTAGAGTTAATAAATTAGAGTTAATAAATAAATAATTTAGAGTTAATAAATTAGAGTCCTACTGATAAAGGTCAAAACTCTGGACAGTCAATACAACAGTAGCATAACAACAGGAAGAAATATTAACCTTGTAACCTTTATAATTTGTGTTTATCCACCTTAAAACATTTTTTAGAACCCTCAAGTATTTATAAATTACATTACCAACCTTAAGACACATTTTTAGACTCTCAAAGATGTATGACTTGTATTTATTAACCTTAAGACATCTCTCAAATATGTTTTTTGAGAGGGACCTTTGTATTTAGTTATTTATCATGAGGTATAATTGAAACTGCTATGAACATTTATTATCCTTTAGCTAAAGGGATAGCAAAAAGTTTCATTTAGGCCTGTTTTTTTTTTTTTTTTGAGTCTGGACTGTGTCTAGGCTTGAAAATAGCAGCTCTAGTGCTCCATCAACTCTATTGATCAACGCCAAAACTCTGAAGTTTTGAAATCTTATAACATAAGCATAACAGTAGCAAAGAGGGGGAGGAGAAATTTAAAATATCTCCCATTTTTAATCTGCTTTAAAACATTTTTATATTATTATAACTCATTTATATACCTTAAAACATTTACTTAAGACCCTCTACTTTTTTTGTATTTATTAACCCTGAAACATTTTCTCAG